AGTTTTTCGACATTTGTTGGCAACTTCCGCTCTAAAAATGGATAAAAATGTGGGTGTGGTTGTCTCACAAAGTTCTGTTGGAACTTTGGTTCTGTGTGGTTCTGTAACCCAGGTCGTGCCCCGATCAGGTGACTCTCAGCCAATCAATGATGATGTAACAAAGCATATTTGATGCAAATTAAAGGGTCGTCGTACCATCCAATCTCCGGCGTCGATTAACTTAGTTTTTTGTGCTGTGACAGGCTTCACAATTATTCACTGAAAAACATTGACATATTTTGACAAACGGATGGGATTTTACCTCAGTTTAAAAAAAAGAAAAAAACAGGGTTGAGATACAAAATTGTTTTGCAAGTTGGTAAATAAGGTAAACCAGACTGAGGTCGACGATTGTCAGTCCCATTTATATACCCATTTCACTTGATTTTTTTTCATAATGTTGTTCATAAATAAATTTTGCACACAAAAAAGTCAATTGGCCCAATTCAGTTACACTTTAAGTAAATCAAACACTGGTAATACTCAAAACAAATCAGGCCTATTTACCATTGTACAGCATATAAATGTAACTGACAAGAGTGAATTGAAAGAACCTCATTAACATAAATGGAAAAGTACTTCAAATATCAAGATCAATCTTTTCATGCATAGCCTGCCAGAGACTCAAGGCTGAGTGCATATGCTATAATGTTTTTAGTATTAAACTCAGCACATCATCGTCATATCAATTGTAGTTGTCATAACGTCAACAAAAACATGACCGCTGTGTAGTCATCTGGATTACAAGGTGAAAAAATGCCCCCCCCCCCGCCGTCCAACACGTCAGATGTTCACCAATCGCCACCCCATACGTGTTTATGTTAACGATATTGTTGTAACAACATGACTCAAAGCAATATTCAAGAAACTTACCTTTCTTTTTGTGACGAATACCGTGATATCGACTAGTGACTGAATTCGTTGACGAGTATCAAAGACGGCCTGGACTTCACTGCAACTCTATTTTATTTATTTATTAACACACAACATCCCCGGAGGGGATGAAAAGGGTTACAAATCAAATATTAGTAAAAGAAAAATAACTACATAAAAAGTAAGGGAACAAAAAAGCATTAAAAAAAAAAAGATAAATTTGTATACGAGGAATGTGTTACTGGCTTAGTTTATTTAGGTGCTGCTGTCTTGTATTAAAACAGTTTTTTAAATATTGTGCTAAAGGAATTGACATTTTCTCGTTACTTAGTAATGATATGTATTTTTTTTCATTATTAAATTTGTCAAAATTTGGTATACGTTTATTAGCTACAATGTAAAGTTTTGATCTTATTTCGTTGTAATGAGGACAATTTATGACAAAATGTTGTTCATCTTCAACATGGTCATTGTCGCACATATTGCAGACTCTGTCTTTAAAATCCAAACCTATATGCCGGCCTGTTTCAATTTTCAGACGGTGGTTGCCAAGTCTAAATTTTGTTAAGGATTTGCGAAGTTCATTGTTTTTCATAATTGTTAAGTAGTTTTCTTGTTCAATTTTGGTTTTAAAAAGTTTGTAGGTTCTTAGTTTATTTTTAGAATTTGATTTTTTCCTATTGTCATTATTTATTTCATTTTTCCACTCAGTTGTAAACTCTTCTTTTAATTTCTCATCAATTGTTTTTAGTTTTGATAATGAGATAATATTTGTTTCATTTAAAAGATAAGAATGGTTTATATTTTTTAATATCAAATCAAGTCTTTTAAACCATTTACTTTTAATAATTTTATTGTATATATAGTATGCTTCTTGAAGTAGAGTATTTGTGGAATTTGCAATACGATTGGCATATTTTATCATTTGTTTCTTAATAAAAGAGTCAAGAGGTAATTTTCCCAATTCACTATATATTGCCATGATTGGTGTATTTTTTGAGATACCAAGAATGTACCGATAGTATGTAAGCTGAACATCCTCTACAGTTGATTTTGTAGAACTTTCTTCTCCCCAAATGTCACTCCCATACACAATAACTGGTCTGATAAGTTTATCAAATAGTGACAGTAGTATGGAC